AGCTATAATTAGAAGGAGGGTAAATAAAAATAAGATCGAATTAAATTAGAGCATTCTATTTTTATATCGGTACTAATTTAGTAAACTAAAAAATCTAACTTTTTATTATAGGTACCATTATGTAGCTTACCAGGTATGTGAATTTCCCTATATTTGACAGAGACGGTGTGGACACCCAACTCCTTAGGAACGAAGTGTACGGAGTAAAGGCCGTCTTCCACCTCCTGGATCTCTGCATCTTCAGACACGCCTCCAGGGCTGGTGACTGTCGCCGCCAGATCGAAGGATGTGATTCCTGGACAAAGAATACATTAGAATTTATCATGATATACGTAGTGTCCGCTCACTGGTCGATTTTTGACCATATTCAATATATTTTCTTCTAAAAAACTAACTGTTTTCAATTTTATTTATTAATAACACTAAAGCTGGTCAACTAAATTAAAAAAAAAGAATATCGGTAATCGTAAATATTATTCTTGATTTTAAGCATATATTTTTTTATCGTTACTTTATTCTCATTTCCCTTTACGGTTTGAACAGGCGACATTATGCTTTCATTTTTCTCCATGTTCCGCCATTAAAAATATTCATCCCATCTCCAAAGTCAAACCCGCGACTTTCCAGGTGCTAACAGGTATGAGTACCTACGAGTATAACGCACAATATATTTCATAGTAAACATATTTTAATTATGTATCTTAAAGGCTCTGTCATTGAAATATATTTCGCAGAAAATTCTAGTTTTTATCCTCGCCTTTAATAAAAATACAGGCAAAAATAAAAAAGAAATCGACGGCACACGTCAATAGGGTTAGATATAAATATATTGACCTAATAAATCATATCTAAGAGCTCATAGCATTTATTATGATGCAATCCAATATATATTTTAACAAATAAAAATATTTACAGCATAAACTAGTTTAAAACTAATCTGGACAAAAATCTTACTAAACTAAAACTGGAGCTGTTAGAGTTGAAGAATATAAATAAAAAAATGAGAATGACATACCTATTTAATTTGTCATTTCAATTCCATTCTTAAAAATAAAATTTGTAACTATATATATGTTTTAATATTAAAATGGATGGAGGTTTTTTTAAAAAGAGTCCCGTTTCTAAACGAAGTAGGTAGGTAGGTACGCCCCATGATAATCGAATCTGCTACCTCTAAATAATGAAAGTTACATATTGCATTATGACATTAGTTATGACTAGTACCTATACTATAGTATAAAACAAAATGAAGTCACTAAAGATATAAAATACGGCGACTATTGCACCTGTTGACGCAAAAACTGCTCGTAAAGTTCCGTTCAATGAATGAAGTGAAATGTTGCCGAAGCAAAAATATATTTTGAATTGTCGCTTAAAGTATCACTCGATCAGGTTTATCTGGATCAAAACTTGTTATTTTTTTTAAATATAGTTTATTATAGTAAAGAAAACATGTAGTAAACATTTTATTTGCATATTATTTATAATGTATTTTAAACTAGGTATTCAATACGACTCGCATGCCTCCTATATTAGAATTTATATAAAAACTAAGTGACTTACCCTGGCTTCGCTCGGGTGCGTCCCTCGGTATGTTTTAAATAAATATGAACAGTTATTGCGAGTGTACCATATAGGAGAAAGATTTATGCTATTGCGGATTTTTCTGTAGGCGTTATTAAGACAGACAATTTTCTAGTAGATTGATTTGATGTATCTCTTAAGTTTTAGCCAGCGTTAGACATGTAAATATCTAAAAACGACTTAATAGTATCGTTATTGTGTTTTCACGTGGAAATTAAAGACTTTCCTGTAGTAAAATGTATTCTAAATGTTGACCCGAGTAATATTCTCACTACACAAAATTTAGTTAAAATCGGTTCAGTACTTTTTGCGTGAAACGCACTCATCGATTTTGCTAAGTTACTGTTTTATTATATGTATAGATATAATTAATGAAGACGTTCTTAAGGATTTGACGGCTTAATAACGATGTCACGAATTCGTACATAAATTAGGAATACATAAACGTATATAGTTTCGTTTTCCTTATGGAGCTATACTAGAATTTATTCAAATTTAGATAAGACAACGCACCATCACTAATTAGGAACATGCCAAAACATATTTTTAACAACATTAGCGTTGCATAGAAAAAGAAGAAAGAAGTCAAAATATTTTGTTATCTACAGAAGAATTTATATGACTTAACATAATATGTACTTACTTATAAAGAATATACGTACCAGGCATTTTGAATGTGAGCTTGCAATTAGTTCCAACTTCAGTGAGAGGTGCGGGGTCACGTTGCCTTTGGATCTTTTCTCGCTGACGGTTGCTGCCTTCACCGGTCACCTAATATAGGGATATTTTGTTTTATTGTATTTTATATATTGTATATTATTGTATTATATTATATATAAAATTATTAATAAATATTATATACTTCTGTGTTTTCCATGCTCTTTCTAACTCTAAAGGGAAATGGTTCATATAAATAATACTATTAGAATTTAATATTTATTACTTATGTAGAAATTATAAAAAAATTATGAAGCTTTTAGCTATTTATTTTCATTTTTTAGGTACATGCCACTTAAATAAAAAATAATAATGGATTCGAATCCGCCTAGTATTTAGCATTTTCTGTATAGAAAAAAAAACATTTCAATTTAAGAGATTGGGAAAATGTTTCATAGACTCACAGGCCAACACTAAGTAGAAATTAAATAACTAAGAACATTTACCTGGTTCATATTTCATTTTCGGTATTTTTTGTGTCCTATTACTATACTTTCTAATAAAATCATGCTAACAATTTAACATGACAAACAGACAAACATTGAGATATTCATCAAATGTTAAAAAAAACATTGCAACAAGTCTAAAATACCTTGACAGTGTAAGGTGATCCGTCCACATGGTGATCAGCGAACTTAAGGTTAACGATATAGTATCCAGGCTCAGTGGGCTTGTAGCTGATAGCCAAGACGCCATCTTTGCTGTCTGCGCACTGGATTTCGGCTTTGCTGGGACCTAGACATTGTATATGAATACAAAATTATAATGGATATCTTAAGAAATGAAATGAAAGCTCATGTTAATGTTAGGAATTATCACCAGGCATTATACATTATCAAAATTAAGAGCTATGTTAATGAGAGCTACCGCGCTTGAATTCGCCGCGAGAGGCGCTACAGTAGAGCGAGGTCTTTCGAACTGTCAAATAACACAATGTTACTAATAATATTAATAATTATGGCAGACCCGGTACGGCACAACAAATGTTATTGCTTTAAAAGAAGAACTCAGAAAAAGACAATATTTTATCTCTTAGGATATCATACAATATTAATTCTTTAAAACAAAATCCTGATACATTGGTGCCGAGCTAACAATTATTATTATATAAAATTTATGGCCCTGCCGTACTAACAAATACTTTTTTAACGACAGCGATACGACCTAATTCGCCAGTGGCGCCAACTGGTGCCACCAGAAAGGATTGCCCTCATTAATATAGTATTATTTTCTTAGCGTTAAGACATTGCGTGATGCCGAAAAGAAATCTTAATGACTCTTCACTTTTGTGCCATCTGTTAGTAAGAGATTGTGTTTTATGGGCCTTCGACGCCATCTTTTAAAAAAAATGTGTATATGTATTAAGTTAACTATAAATAAATAACTCATACCCTCAATGGAAAGCGAAAGACCACCATAGCCAGCGTTCCTTGTGTCAACGGTGAAGGTGTTCTCTCCGTGGGTCTTGCCTTCCTTCAAGGCTGTTCCGGAAACCTAGAGAATAATATTTATTTACTTAGCTATTTAATCAAAAACAATTAATAACACGTCTATATTATCTATATTAATATCCGAGAAAATAATAACGACCTAACTAATCTTTTCTAAAAATTAAAGCCCAAAGATCCGACCAAATAATTATACTCATGACGACGACACTTCCGTAACAATATTGAAAAAAATATTATTTCTCAATTTTATTTCATAATAAGTTATTTTTTTTAAACATCATAATTGAGCGCAATAATTGAAAAGAAAACCAAAATTAAACAATGCCTATATATTGCCTTACTTACCTTAACTTTCTTAGCATCTCCAACTTCCTGCTCCTGGACAGTGATGTTGAAAGGAGAATTTTGAATGTGCACACCCATCTTCTTAACGGATACAATGTGTTGTCCAGCCTCACGAGGAGTGAAACTGATGCCAATGTTGCCAGAGGGAAGGCGTTTTAAGAAACAAGGCTCTTCAAGACCAGATGGAGCCTGGAAGTAGTAAGAAATAAAAATAGCTTTATTCAAATATAGTTCATAAGCTATTCATTTTATTTTTTAAACAATGATATATACCTTTTATAAAAAAAATCATCATGAAAACAATTGAAGAACTAATTCAAAATGTCAAATGCAAATGTTACAAAAGACTAAAACTGAAAAAAAAACAAATCTAATTCCAAACGTTCTTGTCTTAATTAATGATTCCTCCTATTTTTAACATATTACAAAGTATATTATAGTTTATTATTACATTTAAATTTATTTTTGAAGTACCTGGATGGAAGCGTTAAGGCTACGAAGGTCATTATCATTGACTTTGCCCGGAAGAGTGACTTCGCTGCAACTACCAACGGAGATTTGATTCCTTTTGCGACCTTCCCCTGTGACCTGTACAAAAATATATATTTAAATACTATATTATACTATTTTTACCAAGTACTGGTCATCCAGTGGAAAATTAAAAATTCTGGATATCTGGAGTAGGTCCTGAGGTTTTCGAAGACATAATATTATGAAGCCGCTAACCTACATTTAGCCAACATGGTGGACTATAGTCGGAGCCCTTCTCATTGAGAAGCCCGTGCCTGGCAGTGGATAGTCCATAATAAGAGGTGATTACACTCACATACATACACACATATATTATATATATACACATATACTATTTTTTGTTAAATAAAAAAAATAAAGTGCTTACAACTAATTCGTAAAAAATCTGTCAAAAATACAGCTCAAATAATATATTTTAAATATAAAAATAACCTTAGCGAGGAAAGGTGATCCCTTGATATGCTTATCACCGAACCTAACAGAGATCTTGTATTCACCAGGAGCGGTGGGAAGGTAGGACACAGCTACTGTGCCGTCTTTGTTGTCGTGACATGTAATCTGAAATAAAATTAAAAATTCATTATTAGCAATATAAATGCATCAAAGTTCCTCGAATGTCTACATTTTTTTTACCATTTCTATGGTACGTAAAGCTGTAGACGATTAGAATATACATATTTAAAGATAGCACAAGTGTTAGTTAATCTCTAATTAGCAAAGAAAATCTCTTAAAAGTGGATTTTTTTCTTCAAATTTAAATAAAGTTTTCAAGCTGCTAAGATAATATTGACTTACTTCAGCCTTGCTTGGACCTTCAACAGCCATAGACAAACCACCAGCACCAGCCCCCTTGGTGCTGATAGTGAACTGGCTGGGTTCACCACTCACGCCATTGGTTAGGCCTGGGCCGTAAGCCGTCACATAGCCTGAAGAGATAGAGTCTACGTGGAATTTGTAAGGTGACCCTGAAAATTGATAAATGTATAATTGCATTAGTCAGCTATTATCGAATTAATATTTATTCATCAGAACTTTGTCAATAATATTATATGTATTTTGAATTATACCTTCTTGATAAATAAGATAGTATTTTTAATACTCTATTTTGCTATTTCATATCTTTTATACTACCGTATATAAGTAAACCGTTTTGTATCTAGTAATTATAGAAGTTGGTGCTATTAAGGCAATTAAAGTGAACGTACCTATATGATTAGACAAACATATATGAATACATATGATTAGAATTTATCCATTTATATATAATATGTAAAGACAAGTGTTTCCAAAATTTCTTGATTAATAGCACGTCAAGAGCTACTAAACAAAATAAAACACTGACAAACGGAGGAGAAAAAGGTACTGAACTATTTTGTCTTTGCTTGCATGTATGTTGTTTGTTGTTTTCTTTACATATAGATTCTCACCTTGAACATGTTCTCCATTGTATTTTACGAAAAGTTCATGAACACCTTCCTCTCGGGGATCGTACTTGATGCTAACAGTACCATCCCTGTTGTCTTCAATGACTGGTTGGTCGATATGGCCGCTTGGCATCTTTACTTCCGCTGGAAAATGTATTAAATATATGAGAAAGTATATTTTAATAGGAATATTTGTAGTCATTAGTTACACAAAAGATATATGCATTCAGGACAAAACAAATGGATTTAAAAACAAAAAAGTGGTCGAGGGATGTTAGGACACGTGATCGTATTTAAGTAATATAAAAAATGCATCAAGAATTTACTCTCTTTATATTGAAACCTTTGGCCGGAATTTATATTTAGATTAGGTTCTCAATGTTTTTTTTCAAAGAATTATATTTGATCTAGATTGTTATTTATTCAGGTCTAAATTGTTCCAATATTTTCCAATATTAACTGTCATTTTGTTTGATTGTTTCAACGAAAAATCTTGATCAGTTATAATTTACTTTGAACATATTTTAAATTTAGGCGCTCTCAATGACTTAGTTTAAAACAGTTTATTTGCTAAGATTAAGGGGAATATTTTTATTTCCGTGAGCGGTAATTCGACGATGATTTCTTATAGATCTTGAAAAAATCTACCGCCTTAGCCTTCTCGTTAGGTCCTTTTTTTTTATTTCAAACCCAGAACTCCCAATATCATAATTGCTTCACGTTACATAAGATTTGGTGATTGTTTTGACTCGAAAATTATATGTGTTGGACAGTATCAGAAGAATTGGAAGTGTCATAATGACAGCAAGAGTCATAATAATGTATGGAAATAATAATAATGTCCTCCTGACCGGTTCCGGCCACGGCCGCCAATCTCATTGAGACTAGCCAACTGCGCAGGAGATATTATAGTGCACAAGTGTACGCGCAGACACAGGTGCACTCTCTATTCCTGTCACTCTCATACTCCGGTGGGACGACTGCTCGACAGGACCAGTGAGAGTTAAGGCGCAGGACTGACGCGGGTTTACGTGCTCTTTGAGGTACAGGGATAACACACCGCGAACTTCTCAACTCCGGGCTGTTACTGAGGCTTGCCAGACAGAAAGACGCAATAACTAAACTTGGCCCGACCCGGGACTCGAACCCAGGAACTCCAGGTGTGCAGCCGTACATGCTAGCCACTACACCACCAAGGCAGTAGTGTTGTTTTGTATGGAAATATTGTAACTTTAAGTCTCTATGACTTTTGACCCCTTCATTTCCTCAAAATAATTTTTATATACTAATATTTTTTTCTGCATTTTCGAGTATCATATTATCTCGAAATCAAATCGAGATATGGAAAAATTTCATTCATTGCATTTTTTTTAAGATCTATAAAAAATCGTAGTCAAAATACGGTGCCACGGAAATCAAAATGTTGCCAAGATAAGGTGTAAATTGCGCCAATATTTTTAACCAACCTTTTCTAGTATCTATGTGGAAGATAGTGATGAAATTAAGCGGCGTATAAGAAAGTCCAAGACCGGTTTTGTTGAAAGTGATCTTATGAGATTCAGAAAACACTATAGGCGTGACTTCTTTATCGATTTCGGAGACTGAGAAATATTTCTTTTTGTTATCAAAATAGAAAACTGATACGTCGTTCCAGTTAACTTCCTTCTCGTTGCCACCAACGATAGAATTCCAGAGTCCAGACATAAAAGCCATTTAGGTGCTACTTTTTCCAACTCTTCAAACGGAAAACTTATTTTGAATTATATTGTGTGAAGTGTTGTTATATTTTTGGCATGTTTTATTTTGTGTTAACTAAACTGCAATATATTGATTATTATTAACCCTAATTTCATTTATGTGGAGAGTTCGGTGAGTGACAGCTAATAAAATATCCGCTAAATTGGGTTTAAAACTAAAATCCTAATAAAACTATTTCAACAAGAGATGTATTTAGTGTGAATTGCGTTCTTTACAGTATACAATGTAAATAGTTAAATCATTTGAAATTATAACCTATAAATGTGAAGATTTCGCTAGATTCGCATATTTTCGTATCAATTTACGCGGTCTAAATTATGGCTCCCATTCAAAGTGACGTTGTTATTACGTCTTAACACCGAGTCGCTAGATATAAACATAATCGTGGTTGAATTTATAAAATATATAAAATGTTCTGTTTATGAGATAGTTTTGTCATTAAAAATCATAAAAATAGTTGGCAGCCCGGTCGACATGCCTTTGAATTTATATTAAGGTGTGGTTACAAGACGGGGATCGAAATGTAGACACATATTATTATTTGAACGCCTTTATATATGAAATATTATGAATTATGAAAGATGCGCGTGTCTTTTTTTGACGTGAAACGTCTTTAAAAATAGACGGGTACCAGGTCAGAAACTTGGTCCAAAACGAAAGGGTCTATATCGTCTTACGTTAATAATTACAAAACTATTATAGTCAGCTCGCTGTTGTGACCTTGACTTTGCATCAGGCTTGGGCGGGATCGCCGGCGACAGGGCAATGCGCAGAATAACCGAAATTGCCGTTCTCGATCCTTTCTATTCGGTGTTACTCACGATTCACACATGATAGCGCCGTGATCTTAAAATGTGTTTACAGAATTTATTCCGACCGATCGATTTAAATAAAAATACGTGTAATTTATAGGAAATAATAGCCAGGAAGTATATAAAAAATATAAAAATTTAATATGTCGGTCTCAGCTCGTGCTGTAACTAGCCGGAAATATAAATCACGGCTGTCATCGGAAAGAGAGGATTATGGACTACGCATAGGTACCTCAATGTCCGGCGCTGAGCGAGCGAGGCTCAGGGAGCGTCTTAAAGCTATAAGCCAAAGCACGCTTAGTAAACGACGCCTTATATGTTTCTTATTTCACATATCACAGACCAAATTTTAACAAAACTGTTGTTCAATATTAATCGAAAGAACTTTATTTACACTAGCTATTCAGTGTCAGTATAGTATTAAAATAAGTAGAACGAAGTCAATTTTGTTTTCATTCCAATCTTTAACACTAAAAGCGACTCGCTGAAATAGACGTTTCACGTTATACCAACGGCGGTGTGCCCCGACAAAGCCCCACCCGATTTTTTTAGTATAAGCTTAAAACCTTCTTTATTATATTCTACATATTTTTTGGGTTCCGTACCCGAAGAGTGCCAAAGGAACCCTACTACTAAGCCTCCGCTGTCCGTCCGTCCATCTGTCAGATGACTGAATCTCATGAACCGTAATAGGTAGAGAGTTGAAATTTATACAGAGTATGTATTTCTATTGCTGCTATAACAACAAATAATAAAAATAAATAAAATTACAAAAATAAAAATACAAGAAACATTTTCTTAACTTAATCGATCATCGAAGTTAATGTACTAAGTACATAAAGTAAAAGTCATATTAATAAAAAGTACGTACAAAACACTTCGTGTGCGAATTCGACTCGAAATCAACCGATTTTTTACTTTTTACGGTTATTGGTCTATATAGTCTACAATTAATTTATTAGCAAATAAATACTAAAGACAAGCAAAATTTAAAAGACTAGCCACTGAGAAAGCACTATAAAAGCATAAATTTTCAAATTTACCTTACATAATTATACCAAGTACTAAAATAATTTGAATTAAATGAATTGAATTTTCATTTAATATAGCTTTTAGTTTATTTAAAAAAATAGAAAATTTTAATATATTTTTCTACATTTTGCCGCCAGTTGTCAAAGTCAAAGTAAAAGTTTTGGTCAATATTAAAATATTAAGCTCGATTGCTAGCTAAGATTGCTTGCTAGTAGTTCCTCTGAAAAAATGGCGAGAGAAAATACCACTATTTACATCAACCTTTGCTATCAAAATTCTAAATGCGCCGAAATTTTGGACAAATTTAATGGCGACGTTTCCGTTTGATGACAATTTGACGATCGGTGGATGTCAACATGTCTAGGAAATCGTATTTTGCCAATAAATTAATGACGTGTAAAATAATTTAACGGTATATAACACGATTTTTGACGTGTTCAACTTTGGAATTTGTACTAAATTATCTCTAACTTCTCTTTTATTACCCGAATGCGCGACGCAAAAGAGAGAAATGTGTTAATCTGTCTATATATGTATGTATGAATGTACATATGTATGTATGTTTGTTCCTATATGGCATTCTAGAGACCAAACGCGTGGGCCAATTTTGATGATTCATACGTCGTTAGATTTGTCTTGATAACGCGAGTGTTAAAGGCTATATTAAAAAAGATAAATATTAAAATCCTCCATTTTAATTTTTATCTTTATGTTAAAATTTCATTTGAAAAATTCTTCCAAATCAATCGAATGGGGTATCAAAATAAAAGTTTTTAAGAGATCACAAAAATATATACAACTTATATGTTTAAAAGTAATTTAGGTAAAAAAATGGCTAAATATTACTTTAAATGTCTAATTGGCAAAATCTAAAAAGCTGTTAATAAAAACACATAGAAATAAAAAAAACCGACTGCATAAAACCTAAATAAAAAGATAAAAACAAGTTGACGAAGGAATAAAGTAAGTAAGCAGTCGGAGACATACACATGTACATCTCGCGGCAAGGATAAAACGTGTGTCACCGACTGCATAATATTTGCCTATTCCTTCGTCAAATTGTTTTCATCTTTTTAGTTACCTTTTAAGCAGTCGGGTTTTTTATTTTTATACTTACTAGCGACATATTCCGACAACTTTTACTACTAATAGTAGCCTATATATTGCTCTAGGGTCTATCTTTGTACTTTATCCGACTACTTTCAGTCGTTTCAGCACGAAGAAGTTTTTTTTTACTTTATTATCATTAAAAGTTATACACATATTTATTTTTTATAAATATGACATTAAAAATCACTAAGATTTATGTAATGCTGCATTATTCGGTACTTGATATATTACATACTAGAGTATGACATAATATGTATTCCTATTGAAGTACAGGAAAAAAAATTTTGCGATTTTGTCTTAATGTTGTCATCAGTAAATTTGTTAATTAAGTCTTATCTATACATATAATAAAATTGTAACTAAGCCGAATATGTACATTAAATATTTTTTGGAAAATCTTATTTAATTAGACATTATTATCAACACAGAGGCCGAATCTATAGTTTTTAGAATTTTTGTCTGTCTGTCTGTTTATTTATTAAAGTTTCACAGAAAACCCACTGGAGGAATTTTGATGTGGTACGATGATAGCTGGTTATCCGGGTCAACATATAGGATACTTTTTACTACGGGAAAATATCTCATATCTGAAAAAATCCATACTAAACATTAAAACGTAAGAAGGGACGAACCCGAGCGGAGCGAGGGTGTCGCTAGTACTGAATATATTCAATTGTATTGTCACCAAAACTAATCCAAATATCAGATCAATCTGTCAACAGCAAGGAAGTAGAATTTCGATTATTGAATTTGACCCAACAAACAGGGTAAGCTCAATAAAATCGTCCAAAAATAGTCGTCTAATATACAATTTAGTTAATTTAGCTACTAAATTATTATTATTTAGCCTCTGCGCTTCGAAGAACATTTTTAATTGTCAGTCTCAACATGTATGGAACGGTATTCGTTACTCTGACGTACTCATATCAGGAGAAACCACTACCTTACACAACAAGAGACAATAATTATTAATACATATGTATATATAAAATAAATTAGAAATAGAAATAATTATTACGACTCATATTCTAATTATGTATGTGTAAATGAGGACGCAGAGGACTCTGATATCGTAGGCAGCCATCCAAATTGATAAATACAATCAGCGTCAATCAATGTCCTATATATGGAACCGCTTAATAACTTATATTTATGTTAGAATATTTTTAAATGATGTCAGCACGTACGTACGATTAGAAGTGGGGTGGATTTTTTTTATTTACATGATTACCACTTGTCTTACGGTGAAGGAAAATATTGTGAGGCATCTACATGTGAGAGAACCTAACTAGTTTTTGAAGTCAACTCACATTTGACTGGTGGTGGACTACGGCTCGATTATTCTGGACATTCTTGAAATTAAGGGGGGCCTATCACTGAGACGTTAAACGAGGCTAATTGAGATGAGTTCTTCTGATAGATTTCAGGTCATGACTTATCTGATAATAACGCTCTTCACAAAATAAATAATAATGCACCATTGTACAGTGTACACTCTCTATTCCTTTACTGTATAATGAGCGGCCAATTCCGACAAGACCCTTCTAATTTACGTGTTTGTAATTTACGTGCTACAAGGCACTAAATGTAACACAAATCGTAAGTTCGATTCCAATATTTTCTCAAAGCTCTCATTTCTAAGCTTTAATATACACATTTAAACAGTTATCAGCATTTTTGATGAAAGAACTTGGCATATCATTAAAAAAATCTATACTAATATGTAACGCTAAAGAGTTTTTTGTTTGTTTCTTGAACGTGTTAATCTCTGGATTTACGGGCCCGAATTGAAAAATTCTTTTTGCATTTTATAGTCTGTTTATTCAGGAAAATCATCATTTCGGAGTATAGGCTATCATTTATAAAGATATACTAATACATAATCGAACATAATTTGCCATAGCAGGTATATATATATTTTATTTTTGTAATAAAAATTTCCTAATAACATAGTGGTATTAGTTTGTAGGTTTGTTAATTTACATTATTGTAAAGTCTAGC